CGCGGCTCTCCCCGCCGTGCTGATGGCTAGCTCAGCCGGGTCCCCCCTCCCTGGCACAGTGATGCCCTGCTGAGATTGCTCCATCAGGCTCTAGCCACGTTGCAGGGCTCTTTTGCAGGCAGCATCTTCTCAGCCTCCTTTTTTGGACCGTGGTTCATCTAAACACCTTCTCTCTCCTCATTTTCTTCTCTCCTTCCAGTGACCCGACTTTTGGGAAGAGAAACTTTGAGCCCATGCTGACCGTGGAGCTCTGTGGGACAGCAGGTAGGACAGTGCTTCCTTCCCACATCACCAATATTCATCCTGGGAGGATGAGCATTACCCTAAACATTACCCTAAATGCAGCCTGGAGTCACCCAGCTCCAGCTGTGCCCAGGTGAGGGGAGCACCGTGTTCCCCTGCCTGAGGTACCCTCCCAATGCAGTAAACCCAGGGGATTTACTGTGTGCTACCTCTGCGTTGGGAGAACCGAGAGCAGCTTGCAAGCCTCTCCTTTAGACACGCAGGTGCTGGTGAACACGTTTGGGACAGGACACATTGCTGCATAGGCCAGGAGCGCAGGGAGAATCCAGTGGTCCTGCTGGTACCAGGCATCCTTGTTTTTCCCCAAATTGCCATTTGACTGATGAAGCCACAGAGGTGGAGGTTAAGGGGCACCGCACAGCCTCACATTAAGGGAGGTTTCCAGAACAGCCTCCTTCCCAGCCACGTTGGGTCCAATGCAGGTATTGAGATCAGATGAGGTATTACCACTGCACACAAGATGTGCGGCAGAGGAAAGGAAGGGCCTGACCCGAGGTGTCCCTCAGCACAGCTTAGGGTGTCCACGAACCACCTCAAGTTGGGGAAGGAGGGGGTTGAGAAGGGAAAAGCCGCCCCAACAGTTGATGCTGGCCTCCAGCTCACTGGCTGTGATGGGCCTTTCGAGGGCAGGAAGCTAGAAATAAGTAGCAGGGATTCACTCGCTGTGGGGCAGCAGTTTGGCCCCCTCTGGAGACTTCCCAGGCCCGCTTCTCACAGCACAGTGTAGTGCTGCATTGATACAAGCTCTCCTTGGGGAGTTGACTGTTGTGGTTTGTTCTCGGGGGTTCAGGTCTCACACCACCCACCACTCCGCCGTACAAACCAGCTGAGGAGGACCTGTACAAGCCAGACATCCCTCAGGAGGCAAGGAAGGAGGATACCACTACCACCAGCCCCGGGATCCCGCCAGAGGTGGCAGCCCTCCGGAAACCGCTGAAGAAGCACCCGGAGAGGACAGAGCTCTTTGCCCACCTGAGCCGAGCCGCCGCGCGCCCGGCTCTCCCCGAGCAGCAGGGAGTGCTGAAACGGCCCTTCTCGCGCTCCTTTGGGGACCACGACTACTGCCAGGTCATGAAGCCTGAGGCCGCTCTCCAGAGGAAGGTGCTCAAGTCCTGGGAGCCCCCAAGCCAGGTGGAGACTGAACACAAGAGGAGGGTCCCAGACGCACATTACCAGGGGCTGGACCTCAGTGGCAAGGAGGCGAGCAGCGAGATCTTGTGGAAGGATGGCATCAAACAGCTGAGAGACCAGGAGATCAGAGCCAGCTTAACCAAGCACTTTGGCTTTCTGGACAGTGCTCTCGATGATGAGGACATGGCCTTCTGCAAGACCCCTGAGTATGACACCGTCTTTGATGACAGCTGTAGCGAGAGTGGCTCTCCAGTGGAGGAGGAGGAGGAGGAGGAAGAAGAGGAGGAGGAAGAACACTGCGATAGTCCACCGGACACCAAGCTCTGCCTACGGAGAAACCCTCTGTCCAGGACCAGTTTGCACTACTGTTCTCGGAGCAGATCCAGCTCGGGGTCTTCATGCTGCCGGTCCCGATCTCCAGCAAGCAGACGCACCTTCAGGTATGGGTGGGCAGTGACAGGTGGGGGATCGGTGGCTCTCAGCAGCAGGTCTCCGGCATGCAAACAGGGACAGCCTGCTAATGAGAGAAATGCAGGACAGAGCACTTGACTGCCCTCTCTGTCCTGGCTCTGACATGGACTCTGCATGCAACTGTCTCCCATAAAATCCCTGAAGGGGGGGTAAATGAGGACCTACCATTCATTATCCTTTCTGATGCAAGAACTACAGGGACTAAACGGAACTAGGAGGGGGCAGGTTCAAACCAAGCACAGCCAGGTGGTTCATCACACAGCTTGCATGCAGCTGCAGAGTTCCTTTCTTCAGGAAGCTGGGGTTGCTAAAAATTGGCCCAGGGGCAGGGGGAGGCTGAATCAACATAAACAGGAAGACTGCCAAGAGATGAGAAGTATACTGTGAGTGCCTAAATACACAGAAACCTGCTACAGGCAGGAACACTTGGGGCAGTTCTTGCCTCATGATTTCTTAGAAACCTGCTTTTGGCCACCACTTGAGACAACGCTGGGCCCTTGGCCTGACCCAGCATGGTGGCTCTTCTGTTTCTCACTGGTCTGAGGAGATCCCTGAATGAGTCTTGGAGGCTCCTGCTTTTGTCATTAGCCCTGAGGCAGCATCGCTCAGGATTCCCAGTGAACCCCGGCTAGCGTGAGCCATAGTCCAAGCTCCAGCCAAAGGTACTGCATGACAGCACAGGCTCTCTCTGGTCCGTTAGCCCAAGTAACAAGAACGCTAACTAATTAAAGAAAATCCATTAAAATAATTGATACTACATCAGCAGCTGCTGAAAACATCAGCCACAGCCAGAGAAAGCAACATCTTAGGGAAATAACCATGGGTTTCCGTAGTGCTGGGAGCACGCAGGGCATGGGCAAAGGATGGAGCAGTTCCTTGGAAAGGGCAAGGGCTGGTTACCGAGTCCCTCCAGCATCTGTAAGGAAGGATTTCCGAGTCCCTTCAGTGTCAGAGCAGGTACAAGAGAAAGTGGCTAGACTCAGAAAAGCATAATGCTTTCTGGTTCATCCCTGTCCAGCTCTCTTTAGGCGCCTGTGTTTCCCAAGCTCCTGCCTGTCTCTGCAGAATTTAGTGTGCCTCAGTTTCCTTCGGATGTTTGAAGGTTTCCCTGCAGGATCCTCTTTTGGGGCTGAACTCCTCTCTCTTGCTTCACAGATGTGAAAACAGTGAGCAGTGTCAAGGTGGCAATGTGAACCGGGGCCAGATGGAGAAGAGAAGAGAAAAGGCCATTGTAAGTGACCCGCGGGTACCGCGCTGAAAGGGGCGGAAGTGGCCCGACTTCCAGGGGCAGCAGACAGCTTCCTCCTGCTGATGCCTGCATCAGCACTGGGAAAAAGCAGTTCACAGGCCCCAATTCATCTCCTGCTCCAGAAAAGAGACGGTGGAGCACATATTAGCCCTGGCTTCCGCATCCCTTGGTGCAAGGCCAGCATTAAACCAGGACATGGAGGGGGGGAAACCTAAAGTAAAACAGAAGCAATTGGAAATTGGCAATACACAGAGTCCTTGGCACAGGATTGTCCAGAGCATCCTACGTCAGTGCTTCCACGCACTTGGAATTGGCAATTAGGGTGGTGAACGAGGGGAATCCCTGAATTGCTAAGCCATAACTGACGAAAGCCTCGCTGCAGAGAGCGAGCGGCAGAGGCACGTGGCAGCACTGTGTGTGTGCATGGGTGAGTGGCATCTGTGCGTGCAGGGAAGTAATGTATTGTTCTGCTGTACACACACACACACACATTCACACACACCCTTCTGACATTTTTTCCCTGCAACACAATTTAATTTTGCCCCCAGAAATTCTTAAGAATATTTCCTGGCAACTTAACACAGGAAAAGCTAGAGAAGCTGCAGGAGAAATCTGAAAGGGAAGAAAGGCTGTGTGATAGCTTCAGGCTGGCTGAAACTCTGTCCAAAGAGATGTGGCACATGGCTATGCCCTGCAGCAGAGGCTGCTTGTGAGTGACACCTGAACTAGCTGTGAATTGATGCACAGATAGCAACGTGCATCTCAGAAATGAAATACCAGGCTAGCGTGGGGCTGGGCCTGCATGTGGTGTAACCCTGCTGAAGCTGATTTTTGGAGCGGGTGCAGCAGTGCTGCATCGCGAGGGCAGGCGGGCTCCTTGGAGACGCACGTTTCCAGCACCCATCAGCAAAGGCAGAGACCAGGGTCAGAGAGGAACATAAATGTTTGGCTTGTGTTTGCCAGGGGGAAGGCCGGGTGGTGTATATTCGAAACCTCTCCAGCAACATGAGCTCCAGCGAACTGAAGAAGCGCTTCGAAGTGTTTGGGGAAATCGTGGAGTGTCAGGTCCTGTCCAGGACTAACAGGTGGGCGCTGGGGAGGCTGCGGAGCGCAGGGCGGGTGCATGCCTGCCTTTCTCCCCTCGGGACGCGGAAGCAAAAGGCAACTGCTGTCTCCCAGGAGCAATATCAGCAGCTGCTTCTGGACTTTGCCTGCTCAGCTGTGCGCCCAGCTGCAGTGTGCAAAGCTGGTGGGCTGCTAACATTGTGCAGGTGGGGTGAAATGTTCTGAACGGATCCAACCCCAGAGGCCCTCAGTGAGCTGAGCTGAGCTGAGCTGCACCTGGCTCTCAGCACTTTAGGAGATGAGGCTCAGTGAGTCCCTCATCCTAGGGCTGTTTTTTGCCCTGTATAGTACCTGTCCCCACTGCAAGGGTGGCTCTGCACAGGGAAAGCATGGAGGGCCAGAGCTGGCTGGCACAGAGCTGGGGAAGGCACGCTGCCAAGAGACGAGGGACTGTGGGGTCCGTCGCATCTTGAATTCTTTCTCTGGTTGCTCAGGGGGGATAAATATGGCTTCATCACCTACCGGTATTCAGAGCATGCCGCCTTATCTCTGAAGAATGGCTCCTCACTAAGGAAGAGGAATGAGCCTTCGTTTCAGCTCAGCTCTGGTGGCCTCGGGCGCTTCTTCTGGACCAGATACGCTGACCTGGGTAAGAAAGCAAGAGCTGGTTTGTCGACAGTGTCTTGTTTATCGGTGCAGAGCTGTAATGGCAGGTTGTACTTTTGAACTCTCGTCATGCAGGATCCCAAACCTTTAGAGACTATAATTAAAGCCCACCTGCTCTCATATGACTCATGTAGTTGTCCTTAGTTTCCAAAGCCTTAGGGGCTGAGCAAAGGTATAGAGAAGAAAAGCAACTTGCCCTGAGGACTCAGAGTGTGTTGGCTGTAAATAGCATCACAGCCCAGAACTACTGAGTCTCAGCTGAGGCACAGCCCGTGCTTCCTCAGCTGTGTTTCTTCGGGGGGTTTGGACATTTTCCAGCAGAGAACTCCCCTCCCAGGTGTGTGTTGGAGAAAGCAGTCCTTAGCCCAAGAAGTGATGTGGCTTGTTTATTGCTCCATAGGACAGATTCACCACATTAAATAGGTCCTTTTCATCCAAAATGACTACACTTAGATGTGCTGCAGTTGCATTAACTCTTTCTGTGCTGTATGGATTTGGGCAAGGACACACTCCGTCTTCCCCAGATCCCCTGCCTCATTCATTAAAAAAATCAACCAGGGTCTTGTTTTACCTGCTCTTTCGGGGGGGATAGGGCTGCAGCTCTCTGTCAAGCACAGGAGCAAAATGCTATGCTAGTCCTGAAAGTGAAACGTGATCTAGGCTTTGCTTAGTCCTTGTCACTGTGATCCTCAGGTGTTCCACAAACACCAAGCATTTATTTTTATACCCTCTGCAGGAGGTGAAGTGGCTGTGTTATCCCACTTCATGCATGAGGTACTGAGGCCTAGGAAATAAAGCTATAAGGCTTAACTTATCTCTAGATGTCCAGTACTGCCTACTTCTTCAGCACCTTGTATTTAATCTGGTCAGAGCAGCTCTTGTTCTGATTTTGGTTGTGGGTGCAAATACTCATTTATTCATCCAAAGAAATCCCAGGGTCTCCCATTTTGGGCACTAAGAAATAAGAAACAGATCGTATTCTGCAGTGAAAGCGTTGGCAAATGGTTGTTCAGTGTTACTGGGAGCGAGGTCAAGGACAGCGTGTAGCTGCCTTCCTGCTGCAGGAGAACCCCCTCCAGTCCCAGCTCTCCCAGCCCTTCTCTTCCTCACGGGCTGATCGCTGCAAGGACCGCAGCCGCCTCCTTACTGCACAGCCTGGCTCACTCTTAACATCTCATTTATCCTGTGTGCAGGATGAGATGGAAAAAGCAAAATGAAATTATACCATTAATGTCTCTATCAAAAAAATACACACGAAGGGGTTGAGCTGCCATAAATTAGGCAATGTTATTCCTGGCATTTCCTCAATTTCTGTTTAGCTTCTGATGAGAGAGGTGGGAGAACACTACAGGCAGACTCCAAAGCTTGTCACAAACCTGGCTAGATCATATGAAAACTGCCATTTTTCAGAGGCTCAGAACTCATCTGGATCTGGCCAGATTTTTGTGATCCTGGGAACAGGCGTCTCGCCGACGTGTGGCTTGCAGTGCTGGGCAGCGCTAGAGCCTGTCTGCCAAACAGCCGTTTGTTCCTTTCAAAGGAGGGAGAAACAGCACATTTTTCTGCTTTAGCTCATTCTTGGACATGAGACTGCACCAAAATTTTCCAAGAAAGGGTCAGAGGCAGACATCCGCCTTGAGAAACTCGCGTTTAGATGGTTAATGCTCAGCAAAGTCCTAGTCAGCTGAAAGCACAGAGTCCTGCAGCGGGGACCCTGGGGAAGCTGTAACTCGAGGGTTTGCTCAGAGCCTGGAGTGAGAACCTGCAACTGCTGGGGGTTTCTCGTGGCGAGAGTCTCCCGCTCCCCGCGCCGGGCAGGGGAGCGTGGTGGGAGCGGGCGAGCCTGTGCAGAGGGCCCCTCTCTTGGGGGGTTTGCTCAGGAGCAAGCTCCCGGCTGCGGGGAGGCTGTTTGGGTCAGTAAAGCCAAGCCTGGGGTACAGCTGCCCCAGCCCACCCCCCCCTTCG